CATGGTGGCACACATTTGTAATCCCAATGGCTCCTGAGGCTGAGGCAGGAGGATGGCAAGTTCAAGACCAGCTTCAGCAACTTAGGGAGACCCTAAGCCCCCAAACTTAGTAAGTCCCTGACTCAAAACATAAAAACAAAAGAGGATAGGAATATAGCTCGTGGTAAGGCACCTCTGGGTTAAATCTCTAGTACTCCCCCCCCCAAAAAAAATGTTTTTCATGATATTGATTCTTTAGAAGAAAGATTCTTCTTTTGAAATCTACATTCCAGATTTGTTTGTTTACTCGTGCTTTTAGCAAGAAGGGCTATTTTTTAAACTCTAGAATATAAAGGAAAGATATAATCTCAGATTAAGTGAATACATTGAATTAGGTGGAGAGATTCCCTCCATAGTCTCCAATTTCCTTCCTATGGAGTGTAAATAGCTTAGTACAGGATGACACTTTCTACAGGCCAGCATCAGGGAATCAGCATCCTAGAGAATAAAAGTAAGTCCATCATATCTAACTACTAATCAATAGTGTCACTGGAAAAAAACCCAAGTCTTAATGAAGTGGTCTAAGATTCTGCCAGGGTTCGTTTATACAGGGCCTAGAGCAGTGGCTCCTTAAAAAATAAATAAATAAATAAATAAAATTGTTAGGCTGAAATGATCTTCTCTGACCTTGGATGTTGTCTGTGTTCAAAGTAAACTGTGGTGGGGCTCCAGGTCTACTAAACCATTTACAGAGAGAGACTGTCAGAGCCCCCACTGGCTTGTTGAATAGTCCCTTGCTTTAATGAGTGTGGTTTGCAGATGAAGCAGGGTGCAGAGCTCCACCCTGTGCCCTGCCCACCTGCTGCCTCATAAGCTTGCTCAATGCCAGGAGTGTCCCACTCATCACATGCTCTATTTGTTCAGAGCTTCTTGGTCATGAATAGAATAGACCCACATTCAAACACCATCTACACTCTATCATGGTAGACTTGCGTCAAAAAAATTCCTTTAGTTACATCAATTAAGATGAAAGTGCGTGACCACAGAACCCAGGACAAGGACAGACTCCAGGACAGCTACCAGACTTTTCAGTGTGCCAGCTGTCTTTCTGGGGGCAGGGGCTGCTATCTCCATTCTCCCTGGAGCATTTCCTTCACCCTACAAGGTGCATTTAGTAATCAAGGAAGAAAGAAGATCTGCAGTCCCCTCTCTTATAATGGCTGGTCACTGCATTCCCCTCCTGAGTTGGCACCTCCACATGGTGTTGAGTGTAGGGGACAACCAACATGACAAGGGCAGTGCACACCAAGTATCATATTCACACATCAATTTCTTTCTTTGTTTCCTTCTTTTTTCTGCAGTGCTGGGGATGGAACCCAGGGCTTCCTATATACTAAGCACTAGGCACTAGGCCCTAAACCACTAAGCCACAGCCCAACCAAATTTCTTTTCAATGAACACTCATCTTTTTCTTTTAAATTTTTTTTCTTTTTTTTTAGTTGTGGATGGATGCAATAGCTTTATTTAATTTATTTATTTTTTATGTGGTGCTGAGGATCAAACCCAGTGCCTCACACATGCTAGATGAGCATTTCACCACTGAGCCACAACCCCAGCCCTCAGTGGACACTCATGCTTCTAAAAAAGGACTTGGGGATTACAACAGACACTGCTCACCTCAGTTACTCCACTTCGAGACAGCTGCTCCTGCATCTGCTTGACACTACCACTAAACCTGGTGCTTGCTTTTTCATGGCCTCTGTGGTTGCTTTTCAGATCAGGTTCAGCCAGAGATGGCAGAGATCACCCTTCGTGTGTCTATTGTCCTCCCTTTTGCCCCAGCACAGTGTCCTTCCATTCATCTCACCCCATGTCTTCATCATCCACTGACTCTCAACAGGATGGAGAACAGGAACTGAGTATTCAGAGATGTGTAAGATACAGTGTGGTTGAGGGAAAACATAAATAAATAAGGTAGAGGGTTGTGTCTTAATAAAGGGAGACATTCGAGCTTCCGGGAGGGGGCACCTGGTTAGGCTACCCAGTTAGAAACTACCCTGCCTTCATTTTTGAGAAAGAGAAGACAGTGTATGCTTTTTTCAGGGAATAGTAAGTAGATAACTAGTTTGAGATGGTGACCAATGAGATATGGGCAGTATCAGAAAAAAGAATCAATTGCCTCATAGGTTTTTAGATGGCATTTAGATGGCATTAGATGGCATTTAGATGGCATTAGATGGCATAGGTTTTTAGATGGTTAGTGCTATTGTATTAGTCAATAAAGAAAATTCTGAGCAATTGGGTTTGTGAGAGAAGCACCTGAACTGCTTATTCATCTCTTTCAAAAATATTTCTTTACCACATGCTTTATGCTGGGAACTGTGCTAGTCTGAGAAAGCTGCATTTTATTATTATAGTTGATATTCTGAGTTTTAGAAGTATTGTAGCATCTCAGCTTATAGTCCGCAGATTCATTACAGGTTAGGAAAAATTTAAAAAATAAAAGTATTAGCACAACATTGAGATTTAAATGTACAGTATAAAGTTTAGGAATCTGTTATATTAAAAAATTAAACTATACATAGCTGCTTATTTTCTTATCATCCAATATAGGATTATTCACTCTGCTATTTTATGGCCAATATATTTATCTGTTTTAATAATGGCTAATTTTGCAGAATAAAATAAAATAGAATAAAATCTGGTTGTCAATTAGATCTTTGACAAAACACATGGATTATCATTTCTTCCTATTTATTTTTCTTTTTTCAATACTGGGAATTGAACCCAAGGCCTTGTCTATGCTGAACATATTCTTCACCACTACTACTAGGCTACACCAACAGTCCAAACATGAGTTATCTGTCATTTCAGTCATGGGACCAGACACCACTAGCCATCATGTGTGTCCTATCCTAACTTCAGGGAAGGTTCCCAACTGGGCATGGAGGGAGTCACCTAAGAAGTCTCCCTACTGGTGAAACTTGCAAACCACAAAGTACAAAATGATAAAATTACATCAAAACCTACCATATTCTTTGGAGAACTCATCCAACCAATGGTCAAACCAAGGTACTACATTTGTTGAAGATAAACCAGGCAATATTATGACTTAATCGAACTCAAATCTTTCACTGGTATCCCAGGAGGACCAGATGTTTTGTAATGGAAATCCCTATGTTAGTCACAACACAGTAGCACAGCTTTGTGAGTCGGATTCCCCCAGCTCTGGTAATAACATTGTAATTCTCCCTGACTTGTCCCTTAGGCTATTTCACTAAAGTGCAGATAAGTTAGACTTCAGTTTTTACTGTCGATATTCCTCTGGGATTCTGTGTGTCCCATAAGAAGTCATTTGTATGATCCAACTTGCCTAGCTCAGAAATAAGCATAGGTGTTCATACATAAATCCTTTAAAAGGCAAACATTAGCTGGGTGTAGTGGTGCACTTCTGTAATCCCAGCAGCCTGGGAGGCTGAGGCAGAGTACCATAAGTTCAAAGCCAGCCTCAGCAACTTAGTGAGACCTTGTCTCAAAATAAAATATAAAAAGGGATGGGGATTGTGGCTCACTGGTTGAGTGCCCCTGGGCTCAATCCCCAGTGGGGGGGAAAAAAAACATAAAAAAGGGCAAATACTGTGTTAGGAACTATGAATTTAAACAACAAATGGAAAGAGATTTTCCAAACATTAGAGTTTTTCAGGAATAGCAAAACAACTCAATGAGAATATATGTGACAGTAAAATAAGAGTACATACATAGAGGTTGAGGCAAGGGGAAGCTTTTGAAGGTGAAATGAGGAAGATTAGATAAGTTGTTTCAAATCAATTGTCCTTGGGTACAAGGATCAATAACAAGGGTGGCATCAGTCCAAGGTTGGATAGGCAGTTGCTGGGCAGATGCCCTTGCAGAAATACTTTCTGTGTAAGATTGTGGTGGCCTTTGTCTAAGGTTGTGGTTCTAGCACAGTCTTTTGTGATAGTTCTTTCAATCAAACATACTTGTGTGAGATCCCTTTCTTCATATTCTCCCACTTGACTGATTGATTGTTTGATTTCCTAGGACTTCATACAAACAGCTCCATTTGATTCTGACAATTTTCACAGGGACTTAATATCTAATATGCAAGTTAAGAGAAGGAAGATGTGTTAGTCTCCTAGGGTTGCAAAAAA